TTTTTGAGACAGAGTCTAGCTGTTACCCAAGCTGGAGTGCAATGGAGCAATCTCGGCTCACTGCAACCTCCACCTCCCGGGATCAAGCATTTATCTTGCCTCAGCCTCCCGAGTAGCTGGGATTACAGATGCTGCCATTACACCCAGCTAATTTTTGTATTTTTAGTAGAGATGGAGATTTCACCATGCTAGTCAGGCTGGTCTCAAACTCCTGACCTCAGGTGATCCACCCACCTCAGCCTCCCAAAGTGCAATCACTCCCAAAGTGATTACAGTTGTGAGCCACTGCACCCAACCTCGGGCCACTATTTTCAAAAGTGGATTGTTTGCTGTATCGAGGCCTTAACAAGAATGGACATACATATGTGACCCTAATTAGGAAATACCAGATTGGATTAGCTAATCATGTCGGCAATGTAAATAACTTTATTTTTCATATTCAAAGTAAAAACTTCTTTTACTCTTGGTCCCTTTATAACCAGCATCTTTTTGCTTTAAAAAATGAGCGCCTTTGTATTTTTTTAAGTCTTAATAAAAATATTTTTGTTCGAGTCTGCTTTCATGAATGAAGATTATTGACATGGTTGGTAAATTCTAGAATTTTGATTTTGTTTTTTAATTTGAAGAAAACTTTTGCTATTTTAATTTTTTCCAAAATGGTCTTGCACTGTAAGAATTAATGCTAATAACCTAACTTCTAAATTTATGGTAATTGGCATGTTTAATAGCATATCAAAAAACATTTTATTTTAAGCCTGTGGATTCATAGACAAAGCAATGGGAAACATTAGTGAAATATACATGGGTATTGCTTATGCATTTAGGAAGCTCTCAGTTGTCTCTTGCATAGTTTAAGGAATGTTTTCTGAATTTTTTTTAATGCTTTTTTTTGAAAGAAGAATACATACCTTTTAAATGTTATTATCTAATTTCTACAACACTGGGATATTAGGAATAACTTATTAAAAATTACTGTTCTGTATAAGTAAAATATTTGAAATTCAAGTACAGAAAATATCTGAAACAAAAAGCATTGTTGTTTGGCCATGATAAAAGTGCACTGTGGCAGTGCCGCTTGCTCAGGACCCAGCCCTGCAGCCCTTCTGTGTATGCTCCCTCGTAAGTTCATTTGCCGTTATTACACACACAGGCCTTCCTGTCTGGTCCTTAGAAAAGCCGGGCTTCCAAAGCACTGTTGAACGCTGAGGATTCTGTTGTTAATGTGGATGTTCAATGAGTTGTATTTTAAATATCAAAGATTATTAAATAAAGATAATGTTTGCTTTTCTATTTCCTTTTGAACTTGTGTTTATTTTTAATTCATAGCTTGGCTCTTCAAAGTATGATGAGGGCTGGGCTCAATGGCTTGCGCCTGAAATTCCAGCTACCCAGGAGGCAGAAGCAAGAGGATTGCTTGAGCTCACAAGTTCAAGGCTGCAGTGAGTTATGATCTTGCCACTGAATTCTAGCTTGGGTGACAAAGCAGGAAAAAAGTATGGATGGAGGACCAGCAGCATCTGTATCACCTGTGAGTTTTTCAGAAATGCAGTTTCAGGCCACACTCAGACCTACTGAATCAGAACTTTTCCTTTTTTTTTTAAGAGACGGGGTTTCACCATGTTGGTCAGACTGGTCTTGAACTCCTGACCTCAGGTAATCCACCCGACTCGGCCTCCCAAAGTGCTGGGATTACAGGCGTGAGCCACCGTACCTGGCCTCAGAACTTGACGTTTTACAAGATCCCCGGGAGACTAAAGTGTAGAGTGAAGCGTGAGAAGCACCATTTTATGGATTGTTTTTAACCAGCTGTGGTGATGAATATGAATAATGCAGGTCAGCACAGTCCATAGATAATCTATTCCAGCTGACTGCTGCCAAAAGGTCCATTATTACTGGATCCCCAGTCTTTAGCAAGAGAAG